ACATTACTGTACAAGTTCAAGGTACTTTTCTGGTAATTATTCATGTTTTTTACGCTACGTTAAGGTTCATCTCCACTGCATTTGTAATGAAACGGTGCATTAGTAAAACACTGATGCAGAATACGGGAACACTTGGGAAGAGGAGGATGCTGCATAAACAACCACACCTGTTTGCTGATCACACTTCTGTACTGACAAGAGGATTTAAATACAGGATTTACTTGCAACGACGTCCCTTTCACGGTGTGTTTTCTTTAAGACAAACTTGCTGAGTTTTCATTCAACATTCGGCACCAGAAAGAATGGTGCATCAGTGAAGTGCAAAGTTTAATTACACATCAGGTTTTTTTTCCTTTTTGGTCACATGTGGTGGACAACGTGTTGGTTGAGTGCTGACGGTGTGCAGAATTTAAATTTGAAGCCATGGATTGTTTACGCCCATGTTTGTGGTCCTGTTTTCACAGCTTTGTTGGACGTTTCTGCCTCAGATTGCAGGAAATCAGCAGCTTTTGATGTCACTAATACCCAAAGAGGTTGATTTTAATACAACTGAAAACCTGTAGAAAAAATAGTAATAATAAAAAAGCAACCATAACTTCTGTCTCAACCCCTTACATTAAAGACATAATGAGAGTTTTTGTGCCACAACTCACTCAAACTCTGCAGCACTCATTCAGACCTGCTTCTACATGGTGATTTTTGTCAGCTGTTGTTCCCCAGATCAGGAGAGAAGTTTTATTATCTGGCTGCGATGAATGAATCCAGCATCACTGCAAAGTTTGAGGACAGTTTGATTGAACTGGGTCAAACCGTTAAAGACTGTTTGATTCAACACTGACTACAGTTAAGTGTGTATTAACTATTTAATGTACAGTTCAGAGTTAAAATCACATATCTACAATAAATTGCACATAGAGCATGTAGAGCCAGATGAAGCAACTCCAGTTCTCCAGATGTGTGTGTGTGTGTGTGTGTGTGTGTGCAGGACAATCTTGATGTAAGAACCTGTAAGAACCAGTCTTAAAGGCACATTACAGTTTCACTTCAAGCCTCGCTGCGTTTCATCAATTCTGAGAAACTGTTGGGAGGATGGATGTTGCGGTTATGAACATGTGGAGCGGTACGCGATGCCAGGCCCGGTTAGAGGAGGGAAGGTCCAGGACATTGTACCACAGGATGCGGAGAACACCACTTTGATTCATCTGACTCCAGAAATACACTTTGGACAATACAAAGTGAATAGCAGGGCTAATATTACATTAATAGACCAGAGATAATAGGGATAATACACAATGGTCATGCAAGGAAGAAAATGGGCGACGTAAACGATTAGAATAAAATAGTTCAAATCCAGGTGTTGGATGACAGAAATATATAGAATAGTTGTTTTAAACTTGGCCATAACTATGCGATAAATATCAATTAAGGACTACTTAATGAGCATAAATAGTTCAGTAGCCTACTAGGTTCTGCCAGCTCAGATACACTCTGCTGTTCTTTGACTGGTAGTAAGGCAGGGGGTGGGGGGAGAGAGGTAAAGACCCGGGACACCTTCACACAGCCCACGTATCTCCACAGTCTGGGTCACTTTTTTTTTTTTTTTTCTTTAATGCTTTTTAACCCAAACAACATGACACACACTCAGAAATCATCATCAGGGCAATGCAGCATCACCAGAGTAGCATCATCGTGTATCATGAATTGGCATTTGTGTCTCTTATTTAGCTGATAACGGTTATTATACAATTGTCATATCATACACCAGAGTTGCACTTGGCAGCGGGTTGGTCTCCACCCATTCCAGCTGTTTGGTTGGTCGTGAATTGAAAATGGGAATCCCAAATCTACTTTTTCCTTTTTTTGTTGTCAGATTGAGAACAGTGGTGTCTGATTCAGTGCATTTATTGCTCACCACACAATGCCACTGATTTACTTCTTTTATTTCCTGAAAGGTATAATTTCCATTTGGATAAAAGTCTCTCCACGAGGTGGGCTCTGGCTCCGCTCGGATTACGCCTTTGATTCCTGATAATGCCGGAGCTGCGAGCACGCCGCGTGTAACAGTTAAAACTAGAGCCACAAAAGGTAGTCACAACCATAGACGTCCGGTCATTGGCTTTCGAGTGATGGCTGATCTCCAGGGGTTTGTGCTTCACATCAACAGTCATCTAACACACAGACAACAGAGTAATAAAGCTACAGTGTTATGAACACCACTGACTTCGACTGGCGTTATACTTGAAAGTTTCACATTAAAAAAAAAACAAAAAAACCCTCAAAATAAATAAATAAAAGTCCTCTGAATGTCCAGTAAAGTATTTATAGTCCATAACTGTAGTGTCAAGGATTTAAGTAACACAGAGTGAACGTTAACAAGAGAGGAAGTAGACCGACACGGAGGTTAGAATAAAAGTTGTGTACGTGGGTTAGATGGGTAAATATAGAGTTTATTATACTTGATCATTTATACATCACAAACTGTTATTTGTGACTTATTACATATTCTGTAATAATAATAATAATATAATAATAATAATAATAGAATACAGTGGTAAAATTGTACAATGCATTTCTAATAGAAATCAACCGAACTGAATGGCGATGAGGTGGTTTCGATGCTTTGAGGCAAATTCTCTTGTACCTAATACGATCTGTTCGGTCGTGTTGTAATCACCAGAAACTCAAAGACACTTACGGTCCGCCCAGATAGAAAGTGCAAATTCCTTCTGGTGTAAGAAACAGATGAAGAAACACCTTTTATTTTTAAATCTATGTACTGTATATCTATGTTTATATACATATATATGTATATGTGTGTGTGTGTGTGTACATATACATATACATGTCTATGCATCTGACAAATGTTTCGTATGAGTGGTGCAGAATTTCTTCATGGCATTTGATTGTGGGTATTTACAAATTTCTGTCAAGTTTAGGAATGTCACCAGCAAGCCTTTTAAACTCTTGTGTTCAATAGAGAATAGATTACTATCACAGGGGATTGTGCTGATGAATACCTTTAAGACACTGTGATGAGAAATTATTGAGGAAAAGGCAAAGGAACTTTGCATTATTTCTGTTTAAATGAATCTGATGGAAACAAGGGCCAACCTCTACAGCCGGCTGAGTATTAGCAGTTTTTTCTGTGACCGTCAGCAGAGCAACACTAATCTAAAAACGGGTGATAGAAATCGAAACGTCGGCTGTATAAACATACAATCATCTGCCTTTTTGGCCTCTCGACTCGCTTCTCTCACTCTTACTGCATGTAAAAAAAAAAATAAAGTCAACGTAAGCATCAGCAGTCATCCCAGGATCCGTGGGAAACTAAATCTAATACTTGCATATGTACAAATAATCAAGTTCCTCCTGTTTTTTTTTTTTTTTTTCTTTAATTCAAGCACAGTCATCTAATTCATGAGGCAATTTAAAGCCTCACAGTAGCAAAAGGCAACATGAAACACTAGTCTAGTGTTTATATCAGGTGTGAGTAGCTCTTTTAACCAACAATCAGCTCAATAAAGTGGAGCCGAGAAACAAAGAAAAGGCTCTTCTGTTAAAACTGGTGACATGTAGAATATAAGGTCACTGGACACGGCATCGGTTAGATGCCGGACACCGATAACAAACGCTGCTACACGTACCAATCCACAGGTTTTTTTTGTGTTTTGTTTTATATATTTTTTTGCGATTGATTGATGTACAGCAAAACTACCACAGCAGTATCACGTAGAACTCATCTCAACACAGGTCAGAATCCCTTTTTTGTTTTGTTTTTTTTGGACACATTTATCTTCACTGATTGTATACTCTTAAGTGACTGGAAAAAAAACAAAAACAAAAACAAATCAACATAATGAAACATGAATAAATTAACATTGACGCCTCGACATGGCAGTTAAACCTGAGTTCTGTTTTGGAAGTGGTCTCTCTGTTGTTGTTGTTGTTTGTTTTTTTTTTGTCTGATGATAGTATTCTATTTCTATTCAGGCATTGATAAACTGTACTATGCATGTTTGAGTATACACTCAACCCTTGTTCTGTTAAATACATAAATTATTTCACAGTTTACTGTCAAGTTCCCGGATGTGCCGCCCCGCCCGCCCGCCCGCCCGCCGACCAACCCCTACTTTATGTTGTCAACAAGCAAACTCCTCGAAGTTGCCTAAAGTCGGGTGACGAGGTAACATGTTCGGCGTGAATCCGAGACTGTCCGAGTGACTCCGGAGGGTGTCACAGGTGCTCTGCAAGAGAGAAGGGAGGGAAGGAGGGGAGACGAGTTCAACCGGGTTAAGGGAGGAGCGATGTGGGGGGTGGTGGTGATGATGATGATGATGATGATGGCGATGATGATGGAAAAATAAATTTAAAAAGAGCCACAGGTGAAATGAGCGCGATTTGGAGGAGGGAGGGGAAAAAAAATCAGGAGAAATTGAGCGTAAACAGAAAAAAAATGAGGGAGATGATGGTTGTCGCCTCAGAAACAAGGACGGGTTGTTCAGTGTGGATGACAGAAACATATGTAGACGATGATGAGGCGATGAACACAACAGATTTGGGGTTTCCGAGATCAGCCACATTGCATATGTTTCACAGGCAGTGAGAAGAGAAATCAGGGGACGGTGGGGTAAGATGGATGAGAGGAGGGAGAGGAGAAAGAAAACAGCAGATTTTTAGTCCTGATTTTACACTAGCACGTCAAATTGTTGCAGCTCTGGAGGTTGAACACATCCACATATGTCTGCATTTCCCTCTATGTGCAAAGTTGCTTATTGAGTAGATAACCGCCGATAACACTGGCTTGTCCCGACGGCAAAAATGGCTATTCCGGCAGACAAAGAACCGTTTATGTTTTGTGCAAACTCACTGCATGCAGACCTGCGATAACATCACAAAGTAATGCATCTAGCGATGTTATCGGGCACGAGCCTCAAATGCATGGCCTCTAAACGGACCTCTGTGCTGCAGGGAAACAAATACATCTCATGTGGTTCGGCTTTTTCTGCACAGTTCGATAAATATGTAATCTGTTTTCACGGAAGTTCTGCGCTTTACCCTATGGGGGGAGGGAGGAGGAGAGAAAAAGCATCATTATTCAGTGGAAGGAGCAAGTTTTGCATAGTGCAGAGAGTAAAATCTTTATGCGTTTGGAGAATCCAACCAACTGATGTCTTCCAATAAATACAGACACACACACCACAACTAACCTGTCCTGACATGGCGGTAGGTATTAAAATGCTCGCTGGAGTTGGATAATCATCCCTCTTTTGCTGACTGCCAACCAAATCATTTGTAACCACTGAGGAAATGATGTATGAGATGGTCGCAGGTATGTATGAAAGAGAGGGACAGCATGGGAGGGAGCATCTATTATCAATGGGGTGTGCTACCTGGGGGCATGATTAGGCGTGACACCAGGGCTGGTTGGGTTCTCTGGAAACTCCTGGAATAGACATGATGAAAAGAAAGATGGGTGAGGGTGACTGAAATGAAAATAAAACACAATGTAAAATGCTATCAGTTCAACTTCTGAGGGAGAGAGAAGCGATTTCCCTTCAGCGATATTGCAGAAGCACTTAAGGAAATTGGACGTTCAAAACGAAATCTGAGGGTTTTTCTTAATAAGCAGGGAAGGCAAGTGTCAGCTGTTGAAGACCGCTGAAGAAAATGAAAGTCTAATAAAGCATTAAATTACTTCCTTGTCAGGTTGTTTGAGTGGAGATATGACAATGGACTAGTTGGAAAAAAAAAAAAACGGTTTTTGGACATGAGAGAAAGAAAGTACAGGAGATGGGTTATTGTAAGGAGGTGAACACATGACATGGATGGAGTAGAATACAGTAAATATCACACTATGTAAAAGCATGACATGCTCTACATATCAACGCTTCCTCTTCCACTGTTTTACTCCTGATCCTTGTGAAACCAGACTCTAACAATTCCCCTCGTGTTGGACTAAGCTTACTGCATATATCTCCACTTCTGCAGAAAGACAATGAACATCTCCATCTGTTCTTGCTAACAAACTCAACCCTGAACCCGATGCAACTGAGCATGCAGGATCGTCATGCAGCCACGAACTCTTAACACACATGAAGAAGAACTGGGGTCGACCTGGTCGGCATGCCGTCTGGGAAACACAACACAGCTTGCATTGCCAACGTTCTCCCAAGAAAGCTGGATGCAAACTGGAGGATTTAATAAACTCAGGGACAAAAGAAAATGTCTGCACTTAGCGAAATCTGCTTAAATGCTTTTTGTGTGTGTGTCATTATAACAGCACCAGAAAAGAAGAAATGTCTCGTTTTGTTAATGATCCTCCCCTACAGTGACCTGCACAGATGGATTAGTGGCTTCTGTTCTTCAACACTTGAGTCACACTCACATGTTCAAAAGAAAGAAATGGATTAAAAACTGGATTTGCATTTAGATTTAGATATTAAGTCCTATTTTCACTGAATGGAAATGTGAAATGAGACTGGCGTTAGCTTGACAACCTAGTAAAAAAAAATTAATGTTTAGGAATTTTTGCCTTCATTTTCATGGGGACAGTAGAGAGAGAAACGTGGACGAGGAAGCTTTCAGTTCAGCCAAGATCTGAAGTGTAGATTGGACGTATGGTGCCAACAGAAAGCATTCAAGCCCTTTGGACGTTTTCCCGTTTATATCTTTTTAATGTTGAATCATGCTCAGTTTAATTTTACTTTTTGCCTCTTTCATATCAAAGTGAAAACAGATTCCTACAAAGGAACTCATTCTGTTTTTAAAATATACAATAAATGGTTGCATAAATATTTACATGAAGACAAAATAACACTCTGAGCTCATTGAAAAGCACAAGTCGGGTCGGATACGAGGAAATCTGAAACCCTTGGAGTAAAGTTAAATCCATTGTTAAGAAATGTAAGGAATATCTGCATATGTGGTCATTTGCGGGCCGTCCTCGAAATCTGAGCGACTGGGCAAGAAAGAGGCTCGTGGGGAAGATCTACCAAGACTCCTGAAGCAGTGAAAAGCTTCCATACAGCAGCTGTTACCTGCTCTTCACCAGTCAAAGCTTCATGGGACAGTGGCAAAGAGAAAGCTTGTGTTAAAAAGAAAGCTTATAAATCCAGGTTGGAAGAAGATTCTTTGGTCTGATGAAACCAAAATTGAACTTTCTGGCCATCGGACTGGACCATGTTTGGTGGACATCACATCCCCACCGTTCAGCACGGCGGCGGCAGCATCATGATGTGGGAATGGTCTCTAAACAGCAGCAGCAGCCCTGGAAGGCTTATAAAGGTAGAAAGTAAAATAAATGCAGCAAAGTGTAGAGAAATCCTGGAGGACAACCTGATGCATGATAAGTATGACCTGGGAGAAGATGTTAATGTGAATGTTCTGGAGCGGTCCAGCTGGAGTCCAGACCTCCGGTCAATTTAAAACATGTTGCTTGACCCGGTGCAACCTGACGGATTTGCAAAGATTAACGAGGTGGAACTGGAGTGTCCAGATGTTCAGCTGACTGACATCTGTCCACACAGGCTCACCTGCTGCCTCGACTAAATACTGACTTAAAGGAGTAAATACTTCATGAATTACTTTTTTTGTAAATCTGTTTTATGAATTGACATTAGTTTGTAAAAAAAATTAAAAAATGTTTTCACTTTGACATGAAAGAGTCATTTTTAGTCTTTTTTTTTTTGCTCATCAAAGCCTAATTAAATTGACTAGGATTCAATGTAGAAAGGACAGAGAAGGATAAAAACTTATAACGGAGGTGAACAGTTTTTACAGGAACTGTTTGTGGCCTTGTGGTACCCACTCAGGTCTCAGGTCGTCCCACTGAAGAACTTTATGGGCACTCAGTACTAAAATAATGCTAATTTTTAAAAAGCAACGGTCATTAATAGTGTTGAATAAAGAATAAAATTATCATAAAATAAGAAATAATTTGTAAAAAGAAATGGAGAATAAAATTATCCGCTAAAATAAACTGCTTCAAAAAACACTCAGAAATATTTCACTTCTGATTTTAGATTCTTCATCATTTCAGTTATTTGCTGTAACATCCCAAAAAACAAACTAGAGAAGCTGGTAGTTATGTGCAGCCCTGTGCTTCTTCTTTTTCTTCTCTTTTTTTCAACATGTGTTTACTTGATATGTACACTGCTAAAAAAAAGAAGTAATTTTACAGAAAAAATACTCTTCTACAGATTTTTCCCGTTTTGCGATAAAACAAGGAAAGGATTTACATTTTTTTCTGTAATTTTAGGTTTTACCCCTGAAATTACCATCAATGAACCATAATATAGGATTATAGCCATATTATGTTTTTTTTTTATAGACAATTCATTGTGTTTCTACATATTTAACAGTAATTTTACAATTTTCAATATTTTTCTACAGATTTTTCAAAATGTAATAATTGTAGATTAACAGATATTTTCAGTATTTTAAAGAGCAACCCTTAAAATTACACCTAATAACCATTATATTAGATTACATTATTATTATGTCTTTTAAAGGCAAATTAATGTGTTTTTTCATATGTAAATGTAATTTTTCAGATCTTTGCTAATAATTACACTTTAGTATAAAATGATTCATCGTCATTATGCTTCTTCGGATCCGAGCAACTTCCTCGTGTGTCTCTTCAGGACTTCTTTATTTATTTACTGGTTACACTCCAGCCGAGCAAGATTTACGACTGCCATTCAGAACAATACGATCAATAGCGTTGATTAAAAATCTGACTTAAAATAACAGTTACTTTTTAAAGTGCAGCGAGGACGGGAACGTTTCTACAACTGCAGCCGGTAGAACCAGCGTTTCCATCTTTGGGTTTTATTCAGCCGTGTTGTTGATGGCTAATATTAAGAAGGTGCATTTCTGTTATAAATCATCTCTTAACCGGCCTGTTTAAAGCTTAAATAACAGTCCGGGGGAGTGGAGCGTCGCCTCTGGTGTTAAACCGCTGGCCTCCACAGAAACGCTGTGATTTAGAGCTGCAGAAGTGCCTTTCATTACTCCGCTTTACATTAGAACCATAAATTGGTTGTATTGCTTTGACGATTAAAAAAAAACAAGTTAATCATGAGATGTTAATAAAATCTCCAGACCTTTAATCTCGTTCGTTCTTCTGCTCTCACATGAATCCGCTGTGAGTTTCCTCTAATCAGACAATAAGTGGCCAAACCCGAGAATAGCAGCAGCAGCTCCTCTAAGCGAGCAGCGATTACAGTAAAGAGGGTGACATCCACCAGCTACTGTATGTTGTGTAAACACTGACAGAGTGGGCTCGTGTGTGGGACTAACCGAGATAAGGGCCGCTGATAATAAGAGCAGCTTATGAGTCATGAATAAAAGTTAACTGAAAGCAGACATTTCACTCCTAATTGTCCACACGCTGAGGTTTAAGGATAGTAAATAGAAAAACACTCTCTGAGAAAACAGGTCCCAGAGTCTGTTTGTTCTCTGTCAATACTCATCTGCATCCACGTGTGGATTTCTGTCATCTTTGGTAATTAAGTTATGCTGTAATAATGCACTGATTATGCATCATTCACGCCGTGCAATAAAAGCCATGCGTATGTATAATTAATGATTATGTTTCTCCAGAAAAATAAAATATTGTTTCTGCACAGGAAACTAATGATTATATAACGAGGCTGCTTTTTCTCTCTGGTGCCGTTCATTAAAAGCATTTCGAGTGCGAGCAGACATTTTGTTGTTTGTCGTCGGTCCTGAGCTTATCTGAAACATTTCATTCAGTCCAGTGCATTCGGAGAGACTTAAAAATTACCAGATTGTCGCTCTGACAACGCTGTGGTCGTTTCTTGCGTATGAAGTAACCCAAAACCTTATCCTTAAACACCTGGACGCAAAAGAAGAAACACAGCAGTTAGAATCAATCACAGGTGGGACACATCAACGTTTGGGGAAATGCGTTTATCTGCTTCCTCGCTGAGTGGACAGGATCGATACCGCGCTGATTTCTTTCAATAAAATCCACCTGCCAGCACTCCTGAAGCTCGCAAAGTAAACTGTGAGTTTGCAGGAAAACAAAAGCAATGATGTGCTGCTTCACAGGAGGCTGCGCTCCAGAATATTTTTCAAGTCAGACACAATGACCTCCTGATTCAATTCTGTGTTGCAACCTCGCGGTAACAACAAGACTCCAGGTGGTAGACGACTCCTGGCTCGCCTGTCCCCTCCCGAGTGCTATCAGTCTTCATATCTGACTCTCAGCAGGAAAGCAAGAAACGCATTTCCCAAAACCTCAACGAATGAACATTAGCAGCTCAACACAGGAAGGATATCTGAGATTAATTTTAGCCACATGATTAAAAAACTTGCCTTTATTTACACTATGACAAGAATGAATGGAGTTAGTGCAAAGACATGTACGTTTTAATTCGACTTTACCTCGTATAGGTAGTCAAATATCTCCAGTATTGTCAGAACACTGGCTCCGATGAACAGCCCCATCTGACCTCCGATGTCACCTGGAGAACGACAGATCAACAGATATGTGCAGGTACGCTGATGGAACAATGGTGCGTGAAGCCATTCCCCACGCTGTCACATCCCATTCTGTATCTCTCCCAGAAATCTGAGCAGAGTTGTCAAAAAACGTCCATCCAGCTCCGGCTCCTTCATCAGACCCAAACCCGGCCGCCCTCGCAAGAGCATCAGATTATGAAAATGTGCTCAGGCTGTTTGGCGAGTTCAAAGAGGAAACCTCAAAGCAGCGGGCGTGAACACACGATGTGAAATGTGCGGCGGCAGCGAGGGGGGGGTCCCGCTGAGGGCGCAGATACCGAGGTCAACCAGTTTTTTTGTCACAATGAACATGAAGCTTACCGAGGAGCCCTGCGATTTCATAGGCCTTCTTCTGCTCGATCTTCTCGTAATTTAGAGCCTCAAAGAAGATGTCCAAGACCAGTATGTTTTCTCTGGAGAGACAAGAGCACAGCCAACGTGACTTCACTTCCGCTGGTTTCACATCACAGCTCATGATATTTCACATTTCCTGTGTAAGTCTCTTTCATTATTGTTACATTGAAGGTGAACGATGGAGACTCGGGTCATGCTGCGCCACAGTACATCCATCCATCAACAGGAAGAAGAAAAAAGAGAAGAGGCCATTATCTACATGACTGACTAAAGAATACTTACCCGATATATTGCTCAGTTTTGTTGAATTTCTTAGCCAGATATTTAGCAGATGCCTTACTGGGGATCTTAACCATGGACAGCTCCTTGCCATAGCGAGTCATGTTGCAGGGGGTCTGACAGACACAGTAATCGTTGTCTTTCTCTACCAAAAAGTCTGTGGATGATCAGAGTCATTTAAAAAAAATCACTATGAAGAAACCAAACAAACCTGCACACAGACGCTCTCAAGTTTCTGCTAAAAATATCTCAGGAGCTACAATCGCTGCCATCGTTCACTTTCCATGAAAGCAAATAATGACTGAAGCCGTAACACAGAGGAGGAAAGAAGAGGAAGGGAGGGGAGGAAAAAAAAAACTCTGTGGGATTTATTTGGTATCTGTGAAGCGTAGACACATCACAAATCTCCCTAATGGAATTTTTAAACAATAATTTTACTTTTATTATTTTTGCTTCAGCGTTATTAAAGTAATTTTCAAGTTAAAGCTGCTGCATAAGTATCATCGCGAGGCAAGCAATAGGCTCATGGCGCCGCTGCACAAAGATATCACACCAATAATTTATGTGCAATAAAGTGTGTGGGCTCACCTAAGGCCGGGTCAGCACAGTCTTTGTACTGCTCAGGTGTGCAAACTGTGGAGGTCCCTGTTTGAAATAACACATAAGTGAAAATCAATACGGACTTAAATAGTACATCAGGACACAAGGACTTGGAAGGTTTCTCAAAGGTCAAGGCGCTCTGAATTCATACCCGGCATGTGAACCATCCTGCAGTTGCAGTTCTCCAGCAGGTACCGGGTTTCACAGTCAATGCGGCATGCGGTGATGCTGTACGTGGAGAAGTATTCAGAGTCTATGGGAGTAGATTTGCAATCTCCCCAAGGCGGCGGGAGGTACTGAAGCTGAAAGAGCAAACGGCACATGTTTTCCCCTCAGTATACGAGCGCACAGGATTACAGCGTGTAACATAATGCAAGCCCAGCGCAACAAAAGGAGACAACAAGCTGACAAAAACCCAACACAAATGTCTCAAAAATAACAACAACAGAAAGAAAAAAAAATAATAATACAAAAGCATTTCAATGAAAATGTGCACTGAGACAATACTGGTGCAAAACGTCCAGTCGGAGCGACACTACTGCTCATGTACAGAAGCAAGCAGACATCATGCAGAACGTTACTGATGCAGGTCTAGTCCCCGGTAGAAAGCAGAGTACCATGGGAATAGAGTCAGGCTTAAGAGGAATCTGTAAGATATGTAGTTTCAGACAGGACACCACAATCAATGGACAAATTTTAACAACCCCGAGAACAGAACAGTGAACAGTTCACACCTTTCAGATGAACAATTAAATGACTTCCACAGACATCATACAGAGAGTAACATCCGGTTTCACAGCAGGATATTTAACGCAGGACTAACGAACCCACTGCTCTAGAAACAAACGTGTGGATTAGCTGGTTATATTTTCTGGTCTGCACACAGGAGAGTTTGTTATAAAACTACCGCACAATGAGAGTGAAGATGTGATGTACAGCCGTCTCATTAAGAGGGAGAAGTCTCATTAAAAGGTGAAGAGCAGGTCATTATATTTATGAGGAACTCGGGGCTATCTTAATGAATCCATTATTGAGGAATATTTAAGGAGTGAATGTTAAGGATTCGGTTGGCACTGAGCTCTAAACCTCAGAAATGTGCCCCGTGTGAGGCGTCCATTAGCAGCACTCCTCAAGACATTAAAGCAGCTCCTTTTTGGTGAACCGAACAAGCTGACCTCTAACCGTTTCAGCTCCCTTTAAGTGTCTTGTTTACGCCACTTTATGATAATGAATGCCTAATACTTACTTTCGCTAGCAGAGTAAACCAATTATTTATGAAGGCCGGCGATGTTTGCTGGCGTACTGGAGCGCATAGGTACTAATTGCAGTGGGAGCGGGCCAACAATCGATGCCAGGGGCTTCCTCCTGGCAAACTTCACAGAGGAATTGTGCTGCTACTGTCTCATTAAGGTGCACTGTATAATTCCCAATAATCTCCACCAGCTCTAACCGGGCTAACCCTGACAGTCGAACGGTCGTTTAGTCAATGAAAAGTGACAGAGATAGAGTGCAGTTCGTTGGAGGAGTGGATTTAAACTGGCAAACGGGATTAAGTTCCATTTCTAGCCTGCAGAATTTCATAACTGGAGCTACACTGGCGATAAAGAAGAAGGAAAAAAAACCCTGCTGCTGTATATGCTAGACTATAAAGTGAAGCCAGAGTCCCTGTGGGTAATAAAACCTAATGAATTACATCGTCTGGTCCCTCCAGATGACATTAGTGGTCCAGCGGATCGCCCCGATAACACATAAAAGCAAAACAAACAGAAAAAATGTGAACAGAACCGTACATGAGAGTGAGAGGGTAAAGCCAAACAGCAGCTTCGATGAAGATACAGACTTGGATGAGTGGCTCGAAGGAACAATACACATTAGCTGGCCTTTAGCGGCGTCTCCTAAACACACAGGACAATGACGACAAGGACAGACTGCAGATGCCGTTGCATGTGGTTGCTTCAGCCACAGAAGGGGGGCGGATGGATCGGCTCCTCTGAGGGAGGACCGGCGGATGAAAGTGTTAATGAGTGTGGAGCTATTTAACAATACAGTACTTTGCGGCATGCAGCAAGCCCAGTCAGTCATACGCTACCCTCTGCTCTTGGGTGGAAACAAAGGTTTGGAAGCCGGGGGCGACCCCGAAGCCCAGCTCGTGGAGGAAAGGAGGCTCTGACTGAGTGTGAAGCTGTACCTTTATGCCGGCCTCATAGGACGTCTCATCTATAGGGCGAGGGGTGAGGGAACACAGCCCACATCATTATCAGAGTACAAGAGGTGCAACAGTGAGGCAAGGGACAGAAAGAGGTCGACCCGGTCCGGACAAAACATCCTGTCGTCAGCGGAGCAGCAGCACCGCTATCAGGACCGGTGAGGTGTCATTCAGCCATTCTCACAAGTCTCACTTTCACTCGAGCTTGAGTGAACGTAGCGTTACGTAAATGTAGTTCAAAAGTTTCTCTGTGGGAACACAAGTCAAAGCCTCCATATTAAAAATTAAACTCCTCTGACGGACGATTTACAAATGAAAAGGATCATAAGTGCTTCATCCTATTATTACACAGAGAGCAGTGCCACTGTAGTGAAATGAATGCCGGCTAGACTTTAATGACAGTCTAATTAATTCAGCACATCCTTTAGGCCATAAACATGTCTTTTTAGCTGTCACTGGTGTGAGCGCTGGTGTCGCGGTTATAAATGACAATCCACGCACTTTGGCTTTCTTAAGGAAACTCGCTGATGCTGATTAATAGAGCGGATTCCCTGCTTGGAGATGGCTGAATGATGGTACACTTGGAGCAATAAAAAAAAAAACACATTTCCAGAGAGAAAAGAGAGACACACATATATTTCAAAGCAGCTTCCCAAAAAAATAAAATTTGTCATCTTTGTGGTGTCCAAGTGTCTGTTTGACGAGACCAGAACTCTGCCTCCATCATCCCATGTTATTCTGCTGAACGAGGACGGAGACGAGTTTACTTGATCATTTATCTCATGCTGACAAACTGACCAAGACGATTAACTTTAGGGAGCAAAATCATTTAAATTAGGCTTAATTAAATGCTAAAGAAACGAATTTGATTTACTGCTCGAGCACCCATTACTTAAAGACTTCACAGGAACTGATTATGCAGTAGAAAATTTTCATGCGCCCGCAGCACAATACAGAAATACACTTGATCTCTAAGGTAATCATCGCAAAACCTGAAATCCTTTGTGGCACCGCCGCCATTTCCTTGTGACTTACAGAGTGGGTTCTGACTGTTAGTCGCAGGATATTTCTCTGTTCTGTCACTGCTTCCGTTTGAAAATCAAAGACTGTTTCATGTAGACAAAAGAGGCACAATTGGAATTTGTTCCCTCAGCAATATCACATAATTGCAGTACAGTTTCATTACATTTGGAAATCCATGTGAGCTCGGCGTTCAGACCTTGCACACGAGGCTTTCAATCAATTTGGGCTTAACTGCAATTATCACTTTTCATCCCTCACCGATGGCGGCGTCGGGTCTAACCCGCTACAGTCAACAAACCCGCCACAGGACGCTCTGCTTCCCTTCATAACGGCGCTAAAACACCCTTTTTCACCGCGCGCGTAAATCACAGTGCAATTTAAAACGTGTCTTTAAAATAGCCGGGGGTCATCCTTCTCACCTAATGGTGCAGCAAACTAATGCGATGACAAGCACTCGGGCTTCTTTAAATGCCTCAAACTGACATCGATAACATTATGATGACTTTAAAAGGCTTTTCCTGCAGACGCACCGAGTCTTCAGGAGGAGTTTGTTATTTATAGCGAGCCTTTAGAGCTTTTTTCGGCTAAACGCTGCTGCCAATTATGAGAAATTGTTAAATCTATCTTCAAAAACTGTAAACGAGTGTTTTTTTTTTCCTCTTTATTGATTAAAGTTCCGATGATTAAAGCCTGCTGATCGTGCTTGTGTGAATCCTTCCTCACAGTTTTTTTTTCTCTCTGCTGTCTCTCTGAATGGATGCCACTGGAGACGATTTTCACAGCAGTCAAAAAGCTGCATTCATATTTTTTTTCCCTTCGCAGGCTAAGAGTAGTGAAGACTCAATATGCAAAGTAAAACAAACACCCTGAGCTGCCATATATTTTTGCATGCTGTGCAGTCTGAGGTTCTTTTGGCTCTGATAAGCGCAGTATGCTCGTATTCTGGCAGCCAATCACGACTTGGCCCGGCTCTATCAGTATTACTTGGCTGCTACGTTCCCTCGGCTTCATTCACTGTACGCAGATTCACAGGACGCTTATGTAACATCTTTAATTGCACTCTTCCCACACGAGGTCGATCGATGGTCTGATTTTGCTCCGTGACACAGAGGGGATGGACGCCGGCTGGCGAGGGTTTCGGGACAAACATAGAATGGAAGCAAACGAGGTTCGAGGTCGGAGGGGAGGGAGGAGGCTGAACGTTAGGTACCAGTTGCTGCTGACATGACACAAAAGTTTGAAAGCCAGGGGCCACACCAAATCCCAGTTGGTCAATGAAGGGCGGCTCGTCCTGGCTGTGGATCTGAACCTTGATGCCTGCTTCGTAGGAGGTCTCATCTGTGGATACAGCACGCCACAAAACATAACAACAGCTACGGAAACCTGCCATTTGGGCTGTTTAGCGTTCTGCTAGCGGTGACAGAATGTGGATAAACCTGGTGTTGGAAGCTGATGCAGTAGAAACCAGAAGCTGTGTATAAAAAGACATAAAACCTTTTTTTTGTTCTCACTATCTGACATTAAATCAGACTAAACTTTTCCTGTTTCAGGTCAGTCAGGATCACCAACATTATTTCTATTTGCTAAACGCCAGAATAATGAGAGAGAGAATTTTTATGACTTTCTACAAAGTCAGAAGTTTACATCCACTAAGATGCCTTCAAACTATTTGGGAAAGCCCAGATGATGATGTCATGGCTTTGGAAGCTTCTGATTGGTTAATTGACACATGTGAGTTAATTGGAGGCACAGCTGTGGATGTATTTTAAGGCACACCTCAAACATGCTGCTTCCTTTTTTGACAACATGGAACATCTAAAGAAATCAGCCAAGACATCAGGAAGAGAACTGTGGATCTCCACCAGTCTGGTCCAGATGCCTGAAGGTTCCACGTTCATCTCTTCAAACAGTTCTATCAAGTATAACCACCATGGGAATGTCCAGCCATCATAGGCTCAGGAAGGAGACGGTTCTGTGACCCAGAGATGAAGTGTTCTGGTTGAAATGTGTGAATCAACCCCAGATAATGAGAAAGAAAAGGTTTTGTGTCTTTTTACACAGTGTACGTAAACTTCTGGCTTCAACTGTATATTCATGTGTTGGTCCGATATTAAACAAATTTACAGCCACAGATTTACGACATGCTGTGTGGTCCGAGGATGTTGTTTCCCACCGTAAACGGGAAACAATAAGTCAGTGAATGCAGTTTATTAGGTCTGATGTAAACCTGGAGAAACATGTCAGGATTATATTAAACATGGCCGTACGTCAGGTCTGTGTGGACTTCAAGGATGCAAAGGTTTATCAATAAAGCAAATATAAGACCTTGGAAAGTCAATAGAATAATGGGATATAGCCACGTGTTATAGAGATAATAAAACTAGAAGAATTACTGGCCTTTCTGGGGTAAACCAACGAGATATGCAGGTTATAATAGAGGTTAAGGTGCTTCCATAAATGTCAGAGTAGCGCCTGGAGCCGCACTGACCTGTCTCTCCCCAAACAGGCAGGTATTCATCCTGCTGGATGTCCAACATGATCTCCAAGCCGTTGCCCGTGCCGCCTTTTAACGTGGTCAGCAAAGGGTTGCCGTCCAATCCCGAGTTGAAAGTGTAGCACTTCCCGTAGCGAGTGTAAATCTGTGGAAACAAAAAAAGGGGAACACAGAAAGAAACGGGAGTGTCAATGAAAAGTCTGCACCGTGGCAAACTGTGCGCCGGCACAGGATCTATTACATGTCAGTCTGTAATTGTGCGCTGGTAATCATTGTAGAGGTTCTGTGATAATCAGAGAAAAGCAGCACAGGCTTTAAACAAGGCACCTGGCTCTGATTTGAGGAATTAATGAGCGCCCCTCAGCAGCAGCAGCTATCAATCTTTACCCAATTTCACTCCAAATTTCCCCTGAGTAATGCGGAGTGAATGTACTATTTTGCCGTCATTAAATGAGAAACATCTGAAGCTCTCTGGACACAAACAAACTCCAAATTGGGTTTGTAAAATGCATTTGTGTGTGTCTTGCCTTACAAACTTCTTAAGAGACCGAGCCCATGCCAGCGAAGCTCAGCGGTACTTAGCGTTTGATGTGCAATCACTACAGTAGGTTTACTCGCGCCAGATATCTTCCTGATTTAATTAATCCAACTGGCTCAAGTTATTTATTTTCAGCTTTTGCTTCAGTGCTCGCGGATGACATTTGTTCAGTTTTATGGGTTTTACTTGTGACTGGAAAATTCTCAGTCCTCCGCCAAACGAGTGAAAAAAAATAAATCTGAATCGTGATTAGAAGTGTTGACATTTTAAATTGAACTCGAGCCACCATTTGCATAAAGACTAAGAAAGCTTGAAATTACAAATAAACCTTGAGGGATGGAGCAAGTTCAAGATAAGTTTATCAATTTGAGATAAGACTATCAGATTGGTCATGCAACACTTGGAGAACAGAGAACACGTCTGCTCCCCGTGTGCTTCAACACAATCTGAAAACTTTGCAGCGTCAGGATCAGTGGTCGTACTCCAGTCATCATAATTACATTCTGCTGTTTGTACTCACAGCACACATTAAAATGGCATGAGTCACAGCTATGCAAGAAAACTGAGAAAGCAAAGAAAAGCAGAAACATGTGAATCCTTCAGGCTGCTGAAAACCTGGAGTGAAATTATACTGAACATCTGAATTGATGTGCTTTAAATTCCACTGTTGGGCAATTTATCAATTTGTTTTCCAGCATCAAATTCAAAACTCCCATGAACTGGGCTGCTTTTGAAGTTCATATTATTAATATTGCAGTGCCACGAATCCTATAACATAACAGCTCAGTATTCTGCAAAAACGACTCGTGGTTCAGCTTCAGAAATAGGCACCGCGTTGCTCATAAAATTCAAATTTTTTTTTATCTCCTCCAACCCCTCTGCTGCAAAGATTAAAGCATAATTTGCTACATGGAGCCGCAATTTCTGCTTTAATGATCACAGCTGTCCAAATATTCTTCCTGCTCCCAGTGCAGCCCCCCGACAAAACGTGTCCCGCTGAGACGCACTTCTTTGTTCGCCACGTTTCCAGGAGAACACACTGCACCGAGGAGGACAGAAATTCCATCTAATGGTCAGTTTTCATCAATATCCGCTGTGATGAGGTCATGGCAAGAGAGCTGCTGGCAAAAACTCAACCGGCATGGCGGAGCGGATCTCCAGAGATCAGAGTCAGTGTTCCATGTCCAGACTCAGACAGACTTACATGCAGCTCAGACAGATAAGGCTGAGCTTTGTTGCTTTCTCCCTGCTGGCTATATAATGAGGTCTGCAAAGTGACTAGAAACTGTCTAACTAGTGGCTGTTTTTAAAGAGTCACATTTAAGGTTGGATGAAATGTCGCATCACAGCTGCACCACGAGTTGCTTAACATGCAACAGCACGGCACAGCGAGGGTTAGAGGTTAACCTTAATCCCAATTAGGATCATTTTTTGGCCACGAAGACTGATTTTTTTTTTTTATCGTCCACTGGTTTGTGCAAAAGCAGAAAAGCCACCACGGGCAGCTGACATCCTGCAGCGGGCAAAGACTTTACATTTCAAATGTCTCAGGCAGTTGAAGCTGTCGCAGTTACATGTTTTATTTTTATGGCAGGGAGCCGCATACGCAAAGGCAAGTAGTTAAATGTGAAGCCTGTGACAGGTTAGGGTTTTAAATCTACATGTGTGTCCCCAGGTTTAAATTATTCTGTCACTCGGCATGCATACTTACCGCTGCAGAGATTTTACCACTTCTCACCCTCGCGAATACTTACTAATGATAAGCGACCGGTTTGTGCCGAAAGTATTTACTAAAAAATATTAGCATCATCCGGAGGTGTGGGACCGAGGTTTGCAAATGTCACTCGCCGTCTCGGTTCAGTTATTCAAAAACGAATGGCTGTGATAGATCTGAGTCGTGTTCTTCAAATGGGGAAGCTGTATTCTTTGAAGCATATCCTCCTCATGCCCTACAGATGTTTCATTAGAGGAGATAAAATTTTAATTCAGACTGATTTATGATGTCTGAATTATTAATGCTCTTTTTTTCTCTCCTTCCTTAACATTGTTGTCACAGGTTAGAGATTCGTCAGCGAGAACAAACGCATGAGAAATTGGGGAAAAAAATCCTAAAGCAGGCACACAATGACGATCTTCCGCCTCGACACAAAGACGACGTCGTATTTGTCATCTTGAGTGACTTTTTGAAAACCTCGAGTTTAATGAGGGAGAAGCTGTCATGCTAAAACAGGACCGGCTTGTTTACAGCTTTGAAACATCGACACCTTAAAACACCCTGAGAGAATGCCTGCTGTAAGGGAGCTTTGTCAAATGCTTGCATGAATTATTAATACACCTTGTAAACAACACTCGTATCCACACCTGGCAAACACCATCTTTCTTTCTGTACATACAGTGCTGAAGTTTTTGTAGGTGCAGGTTTCCCCACGAAATCTGCACTCCAGCAGCATGTCCTCCAGCTGGTGACCGAGCCGACCCATCATCTCCGTGGTGTTGATGCGATAATCAGGGGGCGGGGTGTAGTTGTTGAAGTCCAGAAGACTCAGGAGACCCTGCTTGTGGTTGTCTTTAAGGATGGACAGGCTCCTGTTTATCACCGTGTGGTTGGGATACAGCAGGTCCATCCAGTAGCCGCTGTGGTACAGGTCGTCTCTGGTCAGGGTGGACACTCGAAACACGTTTTTGTTGCAGAAGGTGACGGCGGGGAAGGACATGTTGTGAGCCCACACCATGTAGATCTTGGTGATGGCGGGGTAGGACATCAGATAGAAGATCCGATTCCAGGACCAGGTGAAGAGGAGACTGAGACACAGCAGGAAGGCCAGGATCCAGACGACTCGCTGCGGTTTCGTCTTGTCCGGAGAGAAGACGAACTTCAAACCGTGGATCTTGGTCCGCATGATGAAATTCACCGTGATCTCCTTCCACGTCGTCGTGAGCGAGCCGGACCCTTTGTTTTGAGGGGTGCTCTCCGGGGCATCGTTTGGTTTGTGCGGCCCCAGGGCGATTGATTCGGACGTGGGTGCTTTAACCATAATTGCGAGTCGAGGCGAGTGCTTCGTTATCAAGTGCAGGAGTCCACGCTGGACTACAATTTACACACAGTGGCTTTCTCCACAATCATATCCAAACAAGTCTATGTGTCAAAAAATTCCAGGTCGCAGCGACTGGAGTCCTAATGTGCAGCTGTCCCACTGCTCAGGCTTGAAAACACTTTGCTGTGAAGATATAAAGAAAGGAAGTGTGCTCCTTGGAGGAGGTAAAATTGATTTACATAATGATTCCTTTATGAGGAAAAACAGCTGAATCACTCTATTAACAAAAACATCCAGCGTAACTATCACCAGTCCTTCATCAATAGATAAATGGACGTGATAATTGCAGATGTAAGCGACGGCTTCACTCCCAGAGGTAATCACTTTGAAAATCCGGAGAGGCTTACCCCTGTTGCTCAGATCTTTCACTCCTCCATCTCCCTCTCCAGTGCCAGACAATACTTGCAGATTTCGGTGGTTTCTCTCTTTGTGCAGTAGCTGCCCAGAACCCAACTCCTCCCTTTTTCCAACAGATTGAAGAGATGCTTTTTAGTCTGTTGACTTGAAGCCTGCAGAAAGGAATATAAAGCTTGTTGCCCCCCTACACACACTCTCTCTACAGTCGAATGGAGAATGAGGTGGAGCCAGTGGATGAAATTGTTTTCCTCCGGTGATGAAGTAGACCTCCAATGGTATAGAGAGGAGGGGGGCTGCTGGTATCGATCAAACAGGAGATAATTGTGATAAAGAAACTCTGCAACGGAAAATATGGAGTCTGAAATTGTTTAATATTGAAGGATGTGCAGCTCACTCATGGATCAATGTATCTATATAATTGATAACTGAGAGGAGGCAGCTAGTGGGAAAACAGGAGCAAAAATCCTCTTTAAAATGGCTTAGAAACATCTGTTACAGCACATTTTCCACTTCGTCTTTCCTGCCACTTTCAAATAGAATTTTACAAACACGGCGTAATGAGGGCTGACATCCTGCTGCATGCAGATGTGGCTCCGGCTGATATTAAAGGTGCTTTGCTCCATTTATTTGAGATTATCAGAGGATTCTGCCGGCAGAATGTTCAGCTGCACACTGCTAGTATTTTATTTTTTATTATTAGGATGTTAGCTGGAATCTTTTTGGTCTGTAATGTGAATTTTTTTTAAAAAACTTGATCACAGCCGTGGTAATATGGCTCCATAAAAATGTTCAGAAAAATGGCAGAAATGTTTTATTGGTGCGTGTTCTTGGGGGAGAAGGTGTCATTTGCTAGTTTAGATGGTGATGGCTGCTCTACAAGAACTGGATTCAATGCAGTTATATATAAATAATAGCGGGAAATGAGCGGTTAGCTTCACAGGGTGGAGATCTAACTGAATAAACTGATGTAGGTGTGAAGAGATGCCAGAGCTGATCTGAATGTTTTAATAACATTTTATTATAAAATCACTGGTGATAAAATCTGTATTGTAGGTGGAATTAAAGAAGAAATAAACTAAATATTTGCATCTGGGTAAATATAAAGCACAACTGCCTCTTAGCTTAGCATAGGCTAGCGACATGAGGGAGCAGCTAGCCTGCTTCTGTCCAGCAGAGGGTCACTGGCAGGAAGTATTTGAAGCGTGTAATCAGCATAAAGCCACAGCCTGCAGTTTTAAGATATTATGGTTGTATCTGAAATGAACCTCCTTGCATCTTATATAATCGTCTGAAACTGCATTCTCAATTATGTTTTGAGGAAAACATATTTTCCGCCTGAGTGCGTTTGTTTGCATCACAAATACATTCCACCTCAACATATCTTTGACTTTTACTTTATAGTTCTGCTGTTGCTCCATTTCAGTCCACCAATCATATATCAAACTGGACTCGTTTCCCTGGTGACCCAGAAAATGGAGGCGAAGCATCAGACGTGTTGTGAAAGGGTCGCATTGTATCAAACCTTTAACCTAAACCGAACCAAACAGCCGGTAAAAAAAGGGGAAAAACAACTCAGTAAACAGCGAATAAAGACAAAACTTTAGTCCCACGCAAACTCCAGGTTCCTGATTTATGTCTCCAACCTCCTAATCCAGACTTTGTGGTTCTTTTAAACCGGAAACATTTAATATTTGATCATAGCTTCGGGGTGAAAACACGTTCTCTTTAAAAAGTAAATGAAAATGTAGTTGAGTTCAGGACAGGGTTTCATATAATGGACACCAATGAGCAGCATACTGAGATTACAGACGCTTACTAGTTGTTTTCATCACCATCTACTGAGCTGTTTGAGTCTTTTTGCCACATTGCACAAAGGTGTTGTTGAAATTTGTAAGTAAATGTACACTGAATTTGGATGCACATAATAATGCAAAATGCAGCATGTAGGGAATATGGGACGATTTTATGGTGCTAGAAGGTGGATTGTGTGAACTTTGGATCCCATTTTCAGGCACAGAAGATATAAAAGATGGATGCAGCCTCCAGGTCTTAAAAGCAAAGCAACCTGCATTCTTTCTGATGGAAAATCACCCGACTTCTTCTTCAGTTTTCTACCTCAGTAAACATTTTCCTCATGAGTTTATGGTCTCAACTGTTCGCTTCATGCCTCCATCAACATGGCATGATGCTCTGTTTGTAAAGTACAGTCCTGTTAAGATTAAAATAGACGATGAAGCAGGGTACGTTCCACGGCATTTTTGGTTTCATTACATGGGATACAGGATGTGGATGTAGTCCTGCCATTGGCCGCTCATTTCACAAAACAACAACGACAACTTCTGGGCAGCGACCGGCCACACTGAAAGTTTTGGAGAGGATTTGGATGGTACAGGAAGGTTTCTGTCCTGTTGTTGAGGTTGTTCTGGATTTATTATACATACAGCTTCTCTCCCTGCACACCAAAACAAGTTCACTATTCTGACACCTGACTCCTTTGCTGTGGATTAGCCTTACCCATGATGACTGATTTCAAAGAAATACAAACATGCCAGTTTGTTTTTTTTCTCCCTTGAATGATGGTGTGGTGCAGCCAGACCATTATGTTCTGCAGAAAGGGAGGCTACCTTTCGATTGATTGGTCGCTGTTATATCGGCGTGTGCTCTCGAATGCTCCGTCACATCCACCCCTCGCCTGTTCCATTCGATTTCAGACAAGACATCAAAACTGTAGCCCACAAACCAATCGGTGATGCCGCGGTCACAATGTTCCTCTTTCGTCTATATTCACAGACTGTATGCTAAGCTAATATACGCTAATCTAGTTTTATGCAGCCATTCAACTCTACCAGAAGACAAATAAGCACGCTAATGCCTGTAAGCAATACATTTGTAAATTCCCAGAGCCACCGTTTGAATTTCATTTGTTCCAAAATATTTTTGCTCCACATAGAAAGCAGAGGCTGTCACGTCACATCAGAGATAAAGCTTCTTTTTTTCTTATTTCCACCTCAGGCTGTCCGACCGTCATCTCGCCTACTTTCAAGTGTCAACATTCTCCACTGCTTTATCTGAGCTATCTGCTCCATTTTCATATGTTGTCTTATTAAATCACTGTTCTGCCTAGTTTTTCATCAGCAGCATTTGTTTCTCACCTCGGCGTCGCACGCTTACCTCAAAATCAATAAGAACAGAAGCAGGAGCGCGAGCATAAGAAACAAGGCTTATGAGCTCTAGGAGATGCATTTTCCTAACATTTAAAGATGCAATTTATTAAAGAGATGATTTCAAAACATATTAATTTATACCCAGACAGTTTAATTTATGCTAAAATTCTGAATTCATATCAATGACAGTAGCTCTATATGGAATTGTTTTGTTGCAGCACCAACAATCTGATAAGAGCTAATGAATGTCTAATAAGAGGAGCTTCAGCACTGTGCTGTTGGTTGTTTTCTCCTCATGTGCTTTCACAGCTTTCCAGCAGAAGCAAAACAACTAAATTAATTGCTTGAATTCGGCTCCCACAGCAGCTACTGTATGTCATGTCTGCACCACGCCTTTTTTTTTTTCTTTTTTTCTGGCTTCCAGGCAAGACAGATGCCCGGCGTCGCTTCATTTTTAGCCACTTTATTCTTAGAAACAACTGCCTAAGCTTTTTTTAATCGTAGAATTAAAGACTCTTTTTTTTTTTTTGTTAGAGAAAGATCCATTCAAAGAACAACAGGGTCTATTTTGGTAGGTGATAACTACCTCCATTTCAGACCCTCTAACAAAAGCCAAACAAAGGGAGGGAAAACACCAACGCTGCACATGTGGCAGACGCGTAATAATTCCAACAATGCCACCTTATCACAGTTATAGCTGACTGCCTGGTTTCTCCACTTATTGACCAGCTGCATAGATTTCCTATACTCACAGTTTCTTTGGAAACATGTCAATAGAGACTAGTGAGTTAATTGCTTGAGCTCGTTTATCCTATTCAAGCCCGGTGGAGGCGTACGGCAGACGGCTCTCCTGGTCTCCACATCGTCCCTCGTCAGCAGTTTGGACCAAAGCGCAATTTCATTACAGCGAGCTCCAGAGGTTACACACTGGCGATGCATGACAATCATCATCAGTCTCTGAAACATGTGCATTCTCCTCTGACAGCAGCTCCACGCCCAAACACTTCAGTTTCAGCTGAATTCATGCATTTATGTTTAAATGAAGTTTGCATTTGAAAATGTTCAGTTGGGACTCATTTAAAGATGCAGGTGTCTCTCCAACATTTTTAACAGCTTGAAATAACAGAATGAAACTTCAATTAGCAATTAAACGAGCAGCTGAATCTTAAGCTTTGTTTTCATTTGATAGAAACCAAACACATGGTGCTTCTGTGCGTTCATCACAGTTCTCTGTTGCCCTACATGGTTCGGTTATTCTAATAAGTTAAAACTGGAGTTTTGATTCTACAGAGAAGCTGCAAATAGTGCAGACACCCCGTATCGAGCATCTTCTCCAGCTGTTTTTTTGGCCACTTGGAGGCAGTGCAGTCTCTACACAGAACAGCGACACGTCGTTAACGTCACAGGTCCAAGTGACCC